TTATATATATATATATATATATATATATATATATATATATATATATATATATATATATATATATATATATATATATATATACACACACAGATTTTCTTACAAACCAAAAGTTTGAAGTATGGAACTTTAGACACTCACACCCACCAGGGGACTTGAACACTGGCCATCAAGATGGCAGGTACGCACTTGTATCCACTACACCATACTTCAGAGCCCTAAGAGGTGGGAATTCCGGGGTATTTAACCAACCAGATATCCCATCCTCTCCAGGCAATGAGACAGTGAGGAATTTCTCGCGTTTTTCATCAAACCCTGTTTTATGGGAGAACTCGGTGCCCATGCTTAATGCACAGAAAGAGGTGGGAAAAAGAGGTGGGAATTCCCACCTCTTAGGGCTGTTGAACGGTTTGTGAGCCCCACAGCAATACGCGGTTCTTTATAACAATAATAAAAATCGGTTGGGAAGTTTCTAAGCTCGTAGTAGTAGGCATCCTTCAGTCTAAAGACTATGAAGTTGCGCCCTGACAGGGCGCAAAGCTTGGGTAGGTAGATATGGAGGAGAGCTCGTAAAGTATCTAATAATTCTAAGCTCGTAAGCAAGTCCTAAGCTCGTAAACTATTTAATTAGTGTAGAAAAAGCTGCCATGATTAAGGAAAGATGTACAGGTTTCGTAATTAGTTGTTTAAATGCTTTATTATACCTAGTCCAGGTCTGTATCAGCATAAATATTAAATTCTTAGCTTGGAGGCTATCGTGGCCCAGTTCTTAAACCCATTATTGTTATTTACCTTACACTTTGTAACTAGTTTATCAACACTAACTTCCTCAGCTAAATGTTCCCGAGCCCATTATGTACTTTGATAACCCTTTCTAGATCCACCTACAGAATGGGTTTGTGTCTGTTACTACTCGCAGGATGCCCATGGGTCCACTAACATTCTTACGATGGTTATGGGGTCTACTTTAATTCACACGATGGGTATGGGGTCCACTATAACTCACAGAATGGGTATGGGGTCCATTATATTTCACAGGGTGGGTATGGGGTCCACTACAACTCACATGATGGGTATGGGGTCCACTACAACTCACATGATGGGTATGGGGTCCACTTCAACTTACAGGATGGGTATGAGGTCCCTTATGAATAAATTGGGGCCAGCTCTATGGGTGCTGGCGCCCCAAACAAGCTGAACTTCGCCTCCCTTACTATAAGTATAATTATACGCTTATATAAGTATAATTTTTTTTTAATTTTATCTTCACATGGAGGAAAAATGGCAAAGGTAGGCATAAAGAGTTTATTACAATATACAAGATAAAGAAAAACGGTTCAAACACATTCTAGTTTTCACCTACTTAATTTGAATCAATTATTCTCTTAACAAACCCTCAATAATTATAATACATTGTTGTCAACACTACAGCCTGCAACACGTTACATGACTTAAATTGAATATATAAATCAATAATCAAACTCAATGTGATAGTTAATGAATGCTGACAAATTAGCATACTGTATTCATGGTATAAAAGGAAAGAAAGCAAATTCATTTAATAATAAGTTAAAAACAAAAGCAAACACAATTTTAAATCGGTACAGAATTAACTTGATCTTTCCCAGCAGGGAGGCGGCCTTTCTACTTCCTATTTGTACATTTAAGCTAAAGCACAGTACGAACATCGATCGGCAAGATGGGTCAGCTGTAAACCCGATTAATCCCTAGATGATTTCTCAAGCTGTTCTCATATAAATGAATAATAAAGTTAAATAAAGCTTGGAAGCTTATTATTTTTGAACCAATACAATCAGATCAAATTTAAAGTTTTACCTTAAAATTATAAATATATGATAAATGTTTTTTTTAACCAAATATATATATAAATCTTTAAAAATGTGTATTTGTATTAGTTTATTTGTATTTATTTGTATTTGTTTTAGTAAACAAACCCACTGCAGGAGAGGAAACTTGGTCAGTGGTTCCTTGCAGTATTGTAGATTCTCTCCAGACTTAAAATAATTGCCAACTAACTTTAGATAGCAGTTACTGGGTAAGGTTTTCCCCGTTGTAGACATTTCAGGTCACAATGGCTCCTATATCCCCTGGAGGATCAGAGGGAAAAGTTAACGGGAAGGTGTAAATATTTCTCTCTTTTTCTTCTTCCTCTTCTTTACTTCTTCTACGCTCCGTTTTCTAAGGTATTTCATTCATTTTTTTACCACACACACGTACTCTCCATCCCTCTTTCGTTTCCTCTGTCGTCTTTCTTCATGAAGGTTTAAATATCAATTTAGATCTTTACTGTGAAGACAATATATGGATCGGCTGTCTGTTGTAGTGACCATACTACGCTCCTTAGAGATCACCCAACAAACACATAACTTAAATACAACGTTTTTTAGATTATTTCGTTTTTACAACTTTGAATTGACGTAAATGTATTCAAAAAAACGTTGTGCCTATGTCTCGTGTCTTCTGGGTAGTCTAACTTCGGGCACATGTTGAACTAACGACGTTCATTCAACGTAACTAGTGCATGTTTTGCCCACTGACTGCTAAGTATCTGCATTTAAATGACGTCAAAGTAACGTTGATGATGGGTCGACGCAACGTTATTCCATTGTCATTTATTTGTTGGGCTCAATGACTGTTATTTAATTTCTGGCATCCGAGAAGGCGACATAATTATGTTATTGTAATTAAATATATTACACATGAAATTCTGGGAGTAGATCACATAAAAGGATCCGCTTATATAAAATTGTATATAGAAGCTAGTTTAGATACGACTTAAAATACTATATATAAAATATGGTGCACTTTTTTCAATTATTTCCGCAATTTTTAGATCCGAACCACCCATAGGCATATAATTCCTGATTGCTACACTTTTAATACTTGGGAATGACTGACAAAGATGTAATACACGATGAGCCACGTCTGTATAACTCGAATTCTCTGACCAGTTTATTGCATAAATCTTAAAGGGAGTTGGACAGAGCTTCTGCACCACAGATCTGAATGTTGTTGCGTCTATAGTGAATGGATCAATGAATGCAAGTTGAACCGAGGAGACAGGAATTGAAGGTTCTCTCACGTGTGTCAGAAGTTTGCGATGCTGTTGGATACAAATCTTGTGTTCATACATCAGAAGTTCACACACTTTAAGGGAAGTAATATTTAACTTAATCCACACATTGTTCAATAATTGCTGATCCTGAATATTATAACAGAACATATGGATGGTTTTACCATATGATTTTGTGTATGTTAGTTTTCCTGGCTTATAGTTTTCAACAATTATCATCCACAAAATGTTGTAAAACGATCTTAGCCTCTTAAGGCATGACTGATGATATCTAATTGCTCTGTGGCATTGGAACCACTGGTGTTTCGTTTGCTGTAGCGCGAGGGATTTGTGCCTGCACTTGCCCCAACACACGACTGGATCACTGCATCGTTCACCACATCGAGAATGGCAGTGTACAGACGGCAAGTTCCACATCGTTCGAGAGGACTCATAAATCCCACTTGTTTTCAGTCCCTCAAGGTGGAAGGGATAAGGAAGCGCTGGTAATGTTGGTTTGCACAAGTAACTCATTTTTCCTCCTCTGCGGACATTAACAAATCTGTGTATTTGTTTATGGCTTGGAACCTTGGGTGGGGAGCATTTGTGAAATTCAATATGGAAAAAAATACCATATTCCTCAAAATGTTCATTGAGAACTTGTGCAAAACTAAGATTTGCTCCTATAGGTTGTTTACTGCTAAATGTTGGGAGTAATTTGTAATTAATATTTGAGAAAACAAAATTTATGAAGACACACAGATTTGTAAGGTTTTGTAAATTGTTTGTAATTAGAGCTAAAGTTTGCAAATCTTCCAGAGTGTCGACTCTTACACACAGTTCTTCAAGGTGTCGAGCATGACACAGCATACTTAAACTTTGCTTGTTGAGGGGACCACCGAGAGCAATTAGTCGACATGAGGTCCCTGATGCCAGCAGGAGTGACAAGCACACTTGAGTAAATATGAGGGAACGTCTTGTAACCATATCCATCCCCATTCTTAAATCAAGGGAGATTTTAATTGGAAATCTGGAAAGTATACGAAGTCCTTCAATGAAATTATTATCGGTGCATTCAGATAATTCACAATGATGAACTCTGGGGTTACGAACTGTAAAAGTTGTCCTACCTGTGGCAGCTGTCTTGGTTTGGGATTCCACTGATAAGGAGATATTTGGGATCTTAACTCCTTAAGGAACACAGAGTCTCTATAAGTTTCATCTAAAAGACGTAACCAAACGGCATAGTTTCTAATCTTATCATAACCACATATGACAACATAAATTATTTGTTCTGCCCTTTTTTGTGTTATTTCATTGTTTAATTTGAGGATGCCACAAATAAATGGTATCATCAAGCTTCCTATTACGCAAAATGTGAAATACTGGCGACAAAAATCTCTCTCTCTCTCACCAGGATCATTAAAATCTACACTTAAATCCAGCCCAAATATAGAACAAAAGCAATTTAAAGAAAATATACTTCTTCCCACAAAGTCATAATTATCAAACACATTATCGCTTCCCTCACAGAGCTTATTCATAACAAAATCTCTCTTATTATTATATTTTCCATGAACTTTTTAATTGGGAAAATATTTAGTAAAATTTTCCCTGTGCTCAACCATCCAGTGAGCAGCGATGGTGAGGACGTCAGAAGCCTGGGTTATCATGGCGTCGCAGAATGCTCGAGCAGCGAGGAACTCTTGCACCGTCCTGTGGAGAGGGCGATACTCTTCTTGTGTCCCGGTGATTGATGGCTTCACTATCACCAGGAAGAACGGTGACATGCATTCCTTGAACGGCAGCCCAGACTTCTCACACAGTTTCTCTATTTCTTTAATTTGATAATCAACAAGGACATATTTATACCTTTGAGAGTTTTCCCAGAATATATTACCAAGTAAATTAAGAAAACAGTTTATCTTACCTCGAAGTTGGCTTTCACTGAGACTTAAGTTTGACAGTTGGAGGCGTCTGGTCATCCTGTTGATGATGTGGTTGATGAGGATGTGGTAGAGTCTGGTGACTGTGGTAGCCTCGGTGACGTCAGAAGGCTTCTCCAGCCACAGCACCACAAGAACAACCACAAACAATGGTACACTAAAGATCTCCCACATATCTTTCTCTTTCTCTTTCATGAACTGTAAAAATCTCCTGCAAGAGTCCCTGCGACCATTAATATCATCTTGAAATGACACGGAAAACAATTTGTTGGCATAAGAAGTCCACTTGTCTGGAGTTAACCCTCTTAATTGGTACACTCCTTGACTACGATGAAGCTCACTAACTAACATCTGAAGTTCATGAACACAATCGGTACGAGTGGTAATCATGAATTTTGAATTGTGGAATTTCTTTAGTATTTCCTTAACTAGCCGTTTTGTTTTCTTAGTAGCCTCGTCATAACCATCCAGCAACCAGAGAGTAGACACCTCTCTCAGTGTCGGGATGATGTCACTGGACTTCAGGTGATGACAAGCGTTACGAAGGACTTCGTCACGGAGCAACGCTTGGGTGTCTTCACTTGTTACATGTCTTAACTCTACTGGCAACACTATGTCAAACTCATCAATCCCATTAACGGAAGGAGAGACTGAGAGCCAATCATGGATAAAATATCTTGTCAAACTCGTTTTCCCAATCCCAGGTGACCCGTGAGTTATCAGAACATCCGGATACTGTCCAGTAGGAAGAGGAGAGGTAAAAAAATCTTTGGTGTCTACCTGTCCTTGACCTTCAATATATAAATCTGTAAATATTTGGTTCACATCCAAGTGAGCAAAGTTATCTTCCATCAACCACACAAATGGGTTAAGAATGCGAAGGTTCTTAGCTAGTTCCTTGATCTCTTTCTTCCCTTCCCTTACTAAGATGTTGCACTGCTCTTGTTGCAGGTTGTGGAGTGCCTCCTTGTATGGTTCCCACAGGTCAACACCTCCTGTTAGTACCTCACTCAGACCCTCCTCCATAACCTTAACATTCTCACTCACAAGGCTTCGGCATCTGAGGCCAGCTAACACAAGCACCTCACGGCAAAGCTCTTCAATGTTGGATAGAATGTTCTGCAGTTTCTCAGGAGTCAATGATAGTTCTTCATGAGCTAAGATATTTCGATTATTTTTAAGTTTTCTTAATCTGTTCTCCAATGTCCCCGGCGTCGACCATTTGGCATCGTTTTCTTCTGCCAAACCACCTACCTTCTGGAGCAAAGTGAACAGTAGCGTTATGTCATAGTTCTCACTTGAGACATTGTCGTCCAGCTGCTGCCTCTGTTTAATCTGGAAGTCCTTTCTGTATTTTGTCATAGAGTATCCTGGAAGGTCAAAGAGGAGTTGCTTGAGATTCTTCTTCTTAGTTAAGAGTTGTAAGACGTGCACAAAGACTGGACGCACCACTCTCATGACGGCGGCGTAGTAACGCAGTAGGAGATGGTCATCAGGACGCAGCAGAGGTGGAGCCATCGGCAACAGCACCAGCAGCAGCCTCGCCACCCAACACCACATTGCCGCCAACATCTGGAAAGTTTGTATAGATGATGAGCGTTAACCCGAACCTAACCCATTCTCACAGTTGTATGGAAATCCCTGCAATTAGAACACGAATGGTTAGCACAACTACCAATTCCAGTCCGACCTCATTAATGTTGGGTGTCCCCAGATTGCTCTTAACCTTCGCACTCGCGGGTGTACGGGTGATATTGGGGAACTGAGACTAGGTAGATAAACCTTTTTGTTACCTGTTCGTCTAGAGCCAGATTCATGAAGCGATTATGAAAGTTCTTAGGAAACGTTTCGTCGTCTTGACAGTTTCCGTCATTACTCACCAAACTAATTATGAACACATTTCTTCCTAAAAACATTATTTTACGGGAGCCCTCTCGGCTTAACGTAAACCGTTCATTAGTTGTGTTTTTTCCTCAACTCGATCTATTTCTCCACTAAAATCCTGCAAGTTTGTTATGGTGATTATAAATCCCTTGTGTGTCTGTAACTATAAATTAACAGGTATTTTTAGAAAATAAAAATAAAAATTAGCAAAACAAGATATTATGGCAGCAGTAATTAAGTAAATAAACACTAGTGAACATTAAATGTTAAAGTAGCTAATGATTGCGTATTCCGTCGGCGCCCAGAATAATCCTTCCTCAATCTCTAATGTTGTTTGTGTACTTGTGTCCTTAATTTGTATTTTTATAAAAGAAATAAATACCTTAACAGTATGATATATGACAAACTTTTAACTAAGTAGAAACTACTTAACATGTGTTTTTATTAACATTAATTTTTACTACACAAGGTAGTTCACTCATGAGGTTGTCAATTATTTTAGAAATTATAGGCCTAAATATTAAATAATTCATGTCAAATCAAATTTTGATGTCTAGCCATTGAGTTCTATGCAGGAAAACAAGTCTAACCGAACTTATTAAATATTTGTTACATTCATATTTTGAAATCGCTCACCTATAAAATATGTTTAAAAATATAAAATACTAAATAATAATGAGTTAATCCTTACCTCACCTCACCTAGGCCAATAAATTGGAGTAAAGTGCAGATTTTTAATGTGATATAATACTTTTAGTAATTGACTTAAAATGCATTAAAGTAATTAATGCATTTCATAGATCCTGCATTTGCCAATAATATTTATACCTTGACACTATTATAAAGACTGGGAAGCCTGAATTATTAATTTATTAAGGATAATATTTGTAAAGGTAATAATAATAATAATAATAATAATAATAATAATAATAATAATAATAATAATAATAACTATTGCAGACGATGAGTCACAATAACGTGGTTGAATATATGATGACTAAATCACACACCAGAAGATGAGACGACGACGCTATGGTCCGTCCTGGACCATTATCAAATTGGACCATTATTTTGTCCCTTGTTCACAATCGACTTCTTAATGGTCCCGGATGGACCAAAAAGTCGTCGTCTCCTCATGTTCCTGTGTGTGGTTTAGTCATCAATAATAACTATTATTATTATTATTTCTACAGTACAATATACATTAGAACATGTTACAGTGGTTAATTAGTAGGTACATAAGTTTTATATTGTATATGCCACTAAAGAAGTTATAAAGCTTAATACATAATCATTAAATATTCATTGTAGTTATAATTGCGTTTTATGTTCCAAATACGTTAAAAACTTGTATGTTTTATGTCTCAAGAAAGACGGAAATACAAGCTACATTTTAAATCCTTTACTGCTAAAATATACAGAGTTAAAGCAAAAACAAATATATAAAAAAATTGTGAGACCTTCACTTAGGGTATATATATAAGGCTATATTTACCTTAGGTGAAGTATATATATACGGATATATGCAATATTTTCAACCAGCAACCAGTCTCTACGCCCTCCGAGCGCCGAACGCGACACATACATTGATTAATCTGTTATTGACAAAAATGCGCTAAAAATGATTAAAGATTCATATACCATCAGGAAGACCGAGTTATAATGAATCCATTATAGGGAAATATAGCTTACCAGAGAGCAATGATATAGATGTTTTAATGAGGGTGTCTTTTGGTGCGTATCCAAAGCTACTCAATGCTTCTTAGAGTTACGTAAGTAAAGAAGAAATATAACATTTGTTTACTACAATGTTGGTATTAAATGTGGAACGTGAATAATCATAATTTTACTTCGAAAATAACTCATTTTATAATGAAATAGAACGAAACTATGTGGCGGATGATGCTACCTGTCCCCTGCCCACCAAGTGCTGAACTCCACACATGCTCCGATAAATTCTGTAATTTGTAAATAATGTTTAACCTTTTCAATGCCATTTACAAAACAGACATATAAACAGGTATAAATGTCCTTATGACCTCATAATCTTTAAGCAAAGACAAAGCTACGTATCGCCGGTGTCTGGACACTTCGAGGCTACCATAACAACACCCGTCTCCAGACAAATGCATGTGATTGGTCAGTTCTCCATCTGATCCGGCAACGTAATTGGCTAAACTATAAGATGACCAACGTTATCTTTGGTTTGATGGAGGTAAACGAAAAACACAAGTGACAGCTATCGAGATCCAGATCAAAATTGCTAATAACTGTGTAAGAACACCTTACTGAATCTTGCAGTGGTCTTCTAGAGCCTTCATGACAGTCTTTTAAGAAGGCATAGCTTAGTGAACCTAAATCCAAGCCTCTGAAGACATGATCTGGAGAGAGAATACTTTACAGAGTGAGACGGTAGAGAGGTTAAGAAAGGCTGTGTATGATGGATGGGAAGTGTAGCGCCTCAGACTCCGTCATAGACCGCCAAGACTAAGACTATTTGTCCCTTGTTTCATGCGGTCCCTCTCATGAAATCTGAACTTCCAACGGCACGAAAGCCACTAAGATGAGAGACCTTGATGCTACCTCGCCAGACCCGGCCAGATACGATGCCTTGCCAGCATTGCCAGATCTGTTCGTGTAGAAGTCGGTCGTGATGACCAATTACGCATAGGAAAATTAAGAAACGACGACGATTCGATCCATTTAGGACCATTATTGTGATTTCCATGGAACAGATTTTGAATATGGCATCTGGCAAGGTGTCCGTAATGGGTGACCCGTAGCGTATTGGTCTATGCAGTCACCTCTTAACCTGAAGGTTCCAAGTTCTATTCCTGCACAGGAGGAGACATTGGGCACGTTTCTTTACATATAAGGGTGCATAGGAGATAGGTAATTATTGTGGGTTGCATCCCGTGGAGGCTCATTAGTTGTGCTAGGAGAACTTTACACCTGATGCTCCTGTTCACCTAGAAGTAAATAGCAACCCGGGAGTTAGACAACTGTTGCTGGTTGAGTCCTGTGGAAGGTCAGTAGTTGGCTTAGGAGGACCTCGATAAAATGAAGAGGCTGCCTGAGTCCCGGTAATGAGAACCAAAATGTGAACACATTTATCTCAGAAAATGCCTACCTGTGTCATAGTGTTGGGGTTACTGTTACAAGTTAATTGTACTTAAAAATATCTTATAACATGAAAAAGCTGGATAAGATAAGGCCAAATTCAGCGTTTGATGACGTTTT